TTAATTAATTAATTAAATCTATTTTAATTCATTAAATTAATCTATTTTAATTAATTAATTAATTAATTTTAATTAATTTGATTAATTAATTTTTAATTAATTAATTAATTAATTTTTAATTAATTTTTTTTTTTAATTAACGTAGTATTAGAAATGTGTATTTTGAGAAGGCCAGAGGCATATAGTGGTCGGATTTTTAACCTACTGTGCTATCAATTATAGTATCATTTTTATGCTATCAATTGTTGTAGTAAATTTAGGTATTGCGAGTTTCATAATCAACCAAGTTTAATCCGTTGTCTTCATGGGTAAATTATTAGAAAAACCCAGTAACCTACCCCCCCCCCCACCTAATCGAAATGCCCTCGGTACATTCCTGGAGAAGGCCCTCTTCGAAATAAAAAAATAGCGCGTTTTCTTATCTTTTCAAAACAAACTTGACAGTAGTACAAGTGCAAGGCTGAACATGGGAATTTTTAATGAAATCGAATGTAAACATGTTAAAGAACTGCCATTCGATATTGACGGCTTCTATCATTTTCAACTTGAATGTGATCCATCGAATATTATGAAATCTAGTAAAGATGGTCGACGTTGGAAAACGTGGTGTACGTCTAAAAGAAAAGAACATCGCGGAGTGAGGAGAAGAGCAAGGTGTGGGGGATCATGGAAATGTCCCAACGAAGATTGTTTGTTTCTAAGGAAAAAAGGCTCACCCAACGATGTCCAGTTTACGAACAACGAAATCGGGAAAAAGTGTTTTATCTGCGAAGAAGAGGCTATTTTTGTGGAGTGCAAAGCTATAAAAGTTTGGGAGTTCGGTACATGTAGAGCAAAAGCTAAAAGTTGATTTCACGAAGCCTTCTTCATTGAAACCCTCGAAAGCTGTTGCTAACACACGGGTATGTGCATTAAAGAAGGCAATGCATGGGAAGAAATTGACGCGTAGGCCGAAAGTCTGGCGGACTCCCGTCGCGTACAAGACACGAAAGCGAAAGCAACGAAATCGTTAGAGAGTCACGGGTACTCTTTTGATGCGTTTTGTGAATTCAAGAAGTTTTGTGACGAGAGACATCCTAATCTATTGTATCGTTTTAACGACGAGCGACAAAATGATAACAATACGTTTGTCTTCAAATGTTCCAGATTTCAAGCAAACCTTGCGATGAGTATGGATTGTGAAAAGATTGGCCTTTTGCATGACCAGTATTGCTATGCTGATGCCACACACAAACGTTGTCCCGGGTTTAAGACCATAACCCTCTGGGTATATCACCCTTTACTTCGAAAATTGGTAGAGTGGAAAGGTACAATGGAAAGTACTACTGAAGATACTGAAGCCATGGTATAGTTTTGGTCTCTATTTAACGAGGTATAGTATAAGATCATTATGTCAATGACAACTAGGTCCAGGCTATTACATTTCACTTATATATTTCGGGTGTTACAGGACGTATCTGGTGACAAGACGTATGTTTTTAATCCTGCTGGATGGGTCTTAGACGAAGCCGGAGCTGAGTGGAATGCTATCAAAATTGTATTCGGAGAGGATGCTATGGCTAAAGTTGTATCGTGCGAATTTCATTACAAACAATCGGTTGGTCGTAAAAGTGGGAAGTTGGATAATAAGCACAAGGCAGAATTTAAAGCTCTCGCGTGGGCGTTAATGGAAGCAAACACGGTGAGCGTTTTTGGGGAAAAAACGAGCGGATTTGAATCGCTTTATTAAAAATAATCCTGCTTACTCCAGTGTACTCAGCTCTTGGGACGAATGTTGGAACAATAGGAAAACGCACATTTTTCGAGCTTTTAAAAACACAATGAAAACGCCGAATATGAACATGGCAGAAACTGGTCACTCGACATGGGTTAAATCAGGTGCAATTCATCTCATTTTGGTAGACGCAGCGAGACATGATGTTGGAAAGAACGTTCGTCTGGAGAAGACGGTTCAAGGTTACATGGAAGGGAGTCTTCGTTCTCGGGAAAAGGTACTAGCGTTAAAGGAACGGAAAAAAGGGACGTGAAAGTCAGATAAAGAGAGCGAGGGAATTCGGTGAAGAAGTGTTAGATGAAGATTTTGAAGGTGATCCGTACTCTGTCAATGATGCTTGTAGTGTAGTAGATCCAAGGGCAACACATAGCCCAACTAAACGGGGGGAAAGTCCAAAAGTTTCCTGTAAAGGGAAGCAAAAGACGTCATCTAAAACGTGGACAAAGCAAGAATTGAAAACCATTAAAAGCGCTAAGTCAGAAGCCAGCGAAATGTCAATAACAAGAACAGTTAAAATAGCCAGTGATTATGCGAAGTTTAGTGTTACGCACGGAAAGAATACTTACGATGTTGACATTTGCCACACTCCTTCCTGTTCCTGTCCAGACAATCGTCCTCGTCCTTACAAGCACATCTTGTGAGTATATTTTTATGTCTTAAATATAAAGGAAGACAATTCATTGTTACGTGAGAAGAAACTTACAAAGGACGTGATGCAAATATAGCCTATACATGTATTGTACACATTTCATTTTGCATTTGAAACAAATACAGTACACTACATCAGATAATATCAATGACATGGCTTTCTGTTTGTTTGGTTTCATCCTACAACTCAGCCACCCTGCATGAAACCTCCAAAGTCCAAACCAAAATAGATGGCCTGAGTTTGCATTCCATTCACACCACGCCAGATATATCCGGCATGAGGTTACAAAATTGCTGGTGTATTGGCGTGAGATCACTAAAAAAGAAGTGATAAGTGTAACTACAGTAAGATTGTGCCTGAATAGATTGACATACAGTATGTATACTCACAGTATAACCTCAAGAATATGTTATTATTAACAGTGTATAAAACATGTCAGGTTAGCCATTTTAACATGGATTTTGGTCCCCAAAGTTAAAATCTCCAATGTATTGGCGTGAACTCGCATATGTTGGCGTATGTCGTTTACACGGAATGCACCCATGCCGGTTGGTCTATTAGAACAAATGTGGCAGCCCAAGCATAAACTGTCAAATACATTTACACTGCACACTATGATCATGTTAATATGCCTCTTAAAACCTACCTATAGTCACTCAAAAACTTAAGTAATTGTTTTAGTACGGTAGTAAGCGACTATTTTATATTATATTACTTTGTAATCTGCAGAGTATAGTGCTGTGTTCTGACGTTCGGTCGGTTCTGATATTTCGACGGTCAAAACCAGTGGGTGAAAATATCAAATTATTTACCGGCTGCGATTTAGTTTCTTTCAACATTCAAATGTTCCTCATACTTCTATGATGTGTGCTTGTTTTTGAAATACCAGATTTGACTTGATTTCTGCGCATACTTAGCAAGTATAAGGCAAAAACTCCGGAAAAATATCACTTTTACAATAGAAAGTATAGTCTTTCACTCCTCAAGTGTGGCCGTTCAACATGGCGGCCGGTCTCAAAACATGACGTACTCCCGGCTTCAATTTTTGTGTAGGGCTTCTATTCATTCTCGTACCCAGAGCCCTTCTTACGCGCGGTGCGACGAGGGGCTCTGGCCAAATCCATAACCGGGTACAAGAATGGCCTTCTATTACGATGCTCTATCCAGTCTTAGGCCCGGTTTAGACGCTGTGCTTTTCATGAGCCGAACTTAATTCATATTTTACTCGAGTGAAATAGGCGTACATCCAATTTTGATTTAGATAGGCGTTCTTTTCATGAGCCGTACTTAATAATTTGAACTGCTTCACTTCGAAACCTGGGGCGGGTGACATTTCATAATAAGAAAAAAGGGTTTTTCACATACAATCTTGGCATTTCTGAGCGTCTACAGGTTTGTGGTTATTAAAAATTTCAATTGCTTTTTGAAAAACCTTATACTACAAACATAGCATGATGCCTGGATAAAAGGTGTTGGAAAACGAGACCTATAGGCTTAGGGCGAGTTTTTCCACGTTATTTGAGTTCTCCCAAACTACTACAAGTGTTTTCTATAACTGTATGGGTCACACATAATAAATATTTTATATTTATTTCATAATATAACTAAAAAAAGATTTGTAGTAGACTCGATATATTTACAAATTCTCATTGCGTAATAATGCCGACCTTTGCTCCATCAATTTACTGCAAGAAACCATTTTTGCCTTTATCAGCAAATAACGCTATAAGCATAATTTTTCAACTTTTATGCAAACAGTCTAACGAAAGGTGTATCTTTTGCTACAAATTGACGTATATAAAGGAAAGAAAAGAAAAGGAAATTCTACCGCGATATTTGCCGATAAAGCGGTATTAAATCTCCACAGAAAAAAATAGAACAAATTACAGAAATACAAAACAAGCCAGAAGCGGAAGTGGGAAGGTTTTTGTATTTTCACTGATAAACGGTTTCTTAATTTGCATTCAAACTGTTTTGTTTACGATTCTAAGTTTAGGCGGGAAATTTCCCGTGTAGAAACACGCTTCTCGACCAATCAACGCACGCGTACTATAAATGTTCTATTTTATCATAATTTATGCATTTGGTACGGCTCATGTAAAGCACGGCAGTATAAATCAACATGTGCTTCAGCCGTGTACACAGGGGGTCCAACTAAGAGCTGTGTTATGAGTATGAATAAAACATTAATAAATCGGAATATGAATAAAACATCATAACGTAATATATTTAAATTATTGCACTTACTTGTATAAATCATAAGAGCTTGTATTTCCAGTGAATAGCTTCAAACAGGGCGCTTATATATATGTTCAGAAACATTGCTCTGCTTCGAACGATTGTTCAAATATCAATATATGGCGAATAAATTGACAAAACGAAAATATTACATGACGTTCCAACGAAAATAACAGCAAGGATTGCGGGCGCGAGCGGAAGGCGATAGATAGATAGATAGAAAACTTTATTTAACCTCGCTAACCCCGTCAACCGAAGCTGATTTCCACAGGGGGCGTGTATAGAAGAAATTACAGAAGTATAAAATTTAGAATAATTATTTACAAAATATTAGAAATAGTATTAAATAGGTGAAGTATAGTACCGGTACTTAGTAAGTTAGTCTGCGGGAACATCTATTTACAATTACTATTAATGTGAGTAGCGATTTTATTCCTAAAAGAGGCAAAGGATTTGCTTTCTCTAATTTCCATCGGAATAGAATTCCAAAGGTAGGCTCCGTCATACATGAAACTCTTTTTCATGCTATTTGTACGCGGTTTAGGTAAGCAAAGACTACTCGAAATATCCCGAAGATTGTAGTTTGTCATCTCACCTTTATATGTGAAAAGATTAGCGAGTGACTCCGGACCCATTTTATTTAATATTTTGTACATTAATTTTGCTTTAGCTTTTTGTCTTTCCGTTTTGAGTGGCACCCAGCTCAATGCTTGTAAAGCAACAGAATGTTCTGTGTCATTGCTCATATTCATGATAATTCGAGCAGCTCTATTTTGGAGTTTTTGGAGTCGCTTTGATTGTGTTTCCCCAAACACATCCCATACTTCACAACACGAATGATCGAAGTATGGCCGAACAATTGCATTATATACAGAAATAAGAGTTTGTCTATCAGTAAACTCTTTTAAACGCCGAAAAGCCGATATTCCTGCTGTTATTTTCTTACAAATATTGTCAGTATTACTTTTCCAAGACAAATGCTGATCAACTGTCACTCCAAGAGTTTTACATTCGTAAACTTGTTTAATTGGTTTGTTTTCAATTTCAATATTAGGTTGTGAATTTGAAACACTTTTGATCATTGGCTTCGAACCAATTAACATAAATTCGGTCTTAGCTACATTTAGGCTAAGTTTATTGGCAATTAACCATTTTCTAAGGTTTTCCAAATCAGAGTTCACTGCAGTCTCAAGGTGAGGTATAGAATCTCCAGTAGCGGTTAGATTTGTGTCATCAGCAAACAACCGAGGTTTTGTATTATTTAGTAGACATTGAGGCAAATCATTAATATATATTAGAAAGAATAGTGCCCCAAGAATAGAGCCTTGTGGTACACCACATTTGATCGATTTTTCTGATGAAATGGATCCTTTTATTTGGCATTTCTGTTTTCGGTTTGTGAGGTAAGATTTAAGAAAGGTCAAAGCTTTTCCTTTTATTCCATGAAGTTCCAACTTTCTTAACAGAATTTGATGATCAACAGTATCAAATGCTTTTTTCAGGTCAATTAAGACTACAAAGTTAAACATTTTTCTGTCTAAGTTCATAAACCAGTCATTAGTACAGTCGAGTAATGCTGTAGCTGTAGAGTGAAATTTTCGAAAACCAAACTGAGAATTATAGTCTAGGACCTGTATATGAGTTTGTATGCATTTCATTTAGGACAGATAATCTCAACTGTTTTAGGGTAAATTGACCATGACGGTCAACATGGTAATGCTGCCCGAACCCCAATCCGGGGCGAAACGTCCGAAACTGACCACACCCAAAAACGACGCTTTCGCCATACTGCTATCTACCAAACCATAAAATCTTTGGCTATTCTGAGGTGCTTATATGGTTCAGAGATGGTACTTTTGGGGGTGGTCATTGGTAAGTGTGAAATGCCTAGCACTAATATTTCACAAGAAAATGGCCATGCAATAATCATAGTTAAACGTCAATTTGTGGCTTGCAAATTCAGATAAACAGCAGTGGACTTACATTACCTTTTTCCCTAAATCTTTTTGATAGAAACATAAATGGTACTTATTTAAATATATTATCACTGGTTTGGTGTAAAATAGTTAATATTTTCTGACCGAAATAATAATTTGAAATGTGCCTACCTCCTGCAAATGGACGTATTTGGCCAAGTTCTCCACTTTACTCCGCTGTTTATCGGCTATCTCGTCGACATCCTACAAAAAATGTAAATCATCTAAGACATAATGGTATCAAGAACATTTTAAACAAGTTTCAACTTGGTTTCAAGTAGATCATACCTGTTTAACCATCGACAAGGTAAATCCACAACTTTGTCCAAATTCAGCGCCATTTTGTCATCCCATGTCGCTTGTTAACAATTCAGCCTTGTTACTCTTCCATCCAAGCCATTTCCATTCCACTAATAATAAATTTAACCCTTTATAACAGGAGGAAACTAAAAAATCTAAACAAAATATAAGAAATACGCCATTTTATCACCATGTAAAATTTTGCTCACGAGTCTTTCAAAACATTCCGTACAAATATCGCGTGACAAAGTAACAGGGACGTGACAGGAGGGGGTGAATTATTTCACGAAGATAGAAGAAGGCTGCGTGAAATAGACTAAAAGCTAAATACAATCATACAAATGTTTGTTTTATTTCTTGTAGCGACAAATATATACATATTATTATTTATTAATATGAAAAAGTCATACAAATTAAATGTTAATTGTTGGATACTGTGTGGGCTTTCCTTTCATTTTTCAAGTTTCTACCCTCCCTGTCACGTCCCTGCTGCTAAACCACGCGAGATTTGTACGAAATGTTTCGAAGGACTCGTAAACAACATTCTACAGGGTGATAAAATGGCGTATTTCTTATATTTTGTTTAGATTTTTTAATTTCCTCCTGTTATAAAGGGTTAAATTTATTATTAGTGGAATGGAAATGGCTTGGATGGAAGAGTAACAAGGCTGAATTGTTAACAAGCGACATGAGATGACAAAATGTCGCTGAATTTGGACAAAGTTGTGGATTTACCTTGTCGATGGTTAAACAGGTATGATCTACTTGAAACCAAGTTGAAACTTGTTTGAAATGTTCTTGATACCATTATGTCTGAGATGATTTACATTTTTTGTAGGATGTCGACGAGATCGCCGATAAACAGCGGAGTAAAGTGGAGAACTTGGCCAAATACGTCCATTTTCAGGAGGTAGGCACATTTCAAATTATTATTTCGGTCAGAAAATATTAACTATTTTACACCAAACCAGTGATAATATATTTAAATAAGTACCATTTATGTTTCTATCAAAAAGATTTAGGGAAAAAGGTAATGTAAGTCCACTCCTGTTTATCTGAATTTGCAAGCCACAAATTGACGTTTAACTATGATTATTGCATGGCCTTTTTCTTGTGAAATATTAGTGCTAGGCATTTCACACTTACCAATTGTTACATATTTGTTTTGTTATTCTGATGTATGCTATTTAAGTCTTGTAATTACGTCATACAATGCGTTCGCGCCAAATATATGTTTTTATATTCTCTGTCTTAAAAACGTGTGTATTCAAACAGAACATGGTGTCAGGAAGGGATTTTCGCTACTAAAGTTCGTTTATAACCGAATTTTTATATATCTAATTGTTTGATCGTTCTTCGTTGACGTTGTGTCTCGCTTTGCCTCGAAATTTGGTAGATTTTACTTGGATTTGATCGTCATTTATGGATAAGCTTCAACCACCGCCGCCATTTTCCTTTGAAGGAAACGTATCTCATGGCTGGAAAATATGGGAAAAACACTTCAATTTTTATCTCACTGCTACTGAATCAGATTCAAAAAGCGATAAAGTGAAAACCTCCATTCTCTTAACCTGCATTGGCCCCAAAGGACGCGAAATTTACGAGACATTTACCTTCTCACAAGAAACTGACAAGCTGAAACTCAAGGTCGTATTAGAAAAATTCAGTGCATATTGTAATCCTACTGAGAAAGAATATCACTATACTTCGCCATCAATTCTTTACCTACAGCCAACACGAAGGTCAGTCTTTCAACGATTTCGTCATAGAACTTAAGAAACGAGCTTCTGAGTGTGAATTTGGGACTTTAGCTGATTCACTGATTAAGGACATGATTGTTTGTGGGGTAGCTGATCAATCCCTCCGTGAAAGACTCTTACGTGATGCGGATTTAACACTTGCCAAGGCCATTGATGCCGGTATTGCTGCAGAGGAAACCAAGCGTCACGCAAAAGAACTCGAAAAACATCAACAATCGTCAGATATTCACCAAGTTTATCATTCAAAAGAAAGAAAACTCAAAGAATCTAGCAGAGCCCCTGATGACGTTATCAAGAAATGTAAGTTTTGTAATGGCTCCCACCAACGTGGCAACTGTCCTGCCTACGGGAAACGGTGTAGAACATGCAACCGTAAGAATTATTTCGCTGTTTGCTGTTCCCAAAAATCTGTCAAATGTGTTGCTGAGCAGGATAAGTCCTCTGATGATGAATTTTTCATCGGTATGGTTAAAGTCACTAATACCAATCAGAATCTCTCAACTGAAGGTGATGGTGAAAACACCCTAACTCCCAAATCCATGCCAACCAATGCTAGTCCCAATGTTTTCACAGTTAACAATACCAAATCAGATTGGTCTGTCACACTGGGCATGAATGGAACTGATGTCAATTTCAAGATAGATACTGGAGCCCAGTGCAATGTAATTCCAAAGCGCCTACTTTCCAACCTCTCACCTAGACCTAAGCTCAAAACAGCAAACGTCCAGCTCTCTGCATATAATGGCACAACTACCCCTGTTGCTGGTAAGTGCATTGCTCAAGTCAAACACAGGGCACAAACAATTCCCATTCTCTTCATGTTTGTAGATTCAGACTCTGTCCCCATACTAGGATTAAATACATGTGACAAACTGAACTTGATCAAACAAGTGTATCAAATTTCAGAGGAAGTGCAATCTCATACTCCTATTCAGGAGGAATTCTCTGACTGTTTTGGAGAAATTGGATGTTTGAAGAGAACACATCACATCGAACTAAGAGATGATGTGAAACCTGTAATCATTCCTGTCAGACAAGTACCCTTTGCTCTAAAGCCAAAGCTCAAAGAGGAATTGCAACGTATGGTTGAGCTCAATGTTATTGAACCAGTCGAAAACCCAACCGAATGGGTCAACGCCTTAGTCATTGTCTCCAAACCAAATGGCAAGCTGCGGATATGCTTAGATCCTCGACCCCTAAATAAAGCCATAAAGAGGCAACACCACCGTCTACCCACAACCGAAGAAATAATCTCTGAAATGTCAGGTGCTCGGTACTTTTCCAAGCTTGATGCTGCCTCCGGATATTGGCAAATAAAAGTAGATGAAGATAGCGCAGACTTACTAACCTTCGGAACTCCATTCGGGCGTTTTCGCTTCAAACGCCTCCCATTCGGGATACACTCTGCCAGTGAAGTCTTTCAAGCAGAAGTTGCCTCAATCATAGCTGATCTACAAGGTTGTGCCAACTCCCAAGATGACATCATTATGTGGGGAACAACTAAACAAGAGCACGACCTTCGCCTCAGAGATGTACTGACACGTATCCGAGTCAGTGGATTGAAGCTCAACCGAAGCAAATGTGTCTTTGCCGTAGAATCCCTCACATTTCTGGGACACACCCTTTCTGCTAATGGTGTTAAGCCTGATCTCTCTAAAGTTGAAGCAATCGTCAACATGCCAATTCTAGAATCGAAAGGTGATCTTCAACGATTCTTGGGTATGGTGAATTATCTGGGTAAATTTGTCCCCAACCTCTCACAAACCACCACTCCGCTTCGTGAAATGCTCAAGAAAGATGTTCATTTTGACCTCCAGCAACCACAACTGGATGCCATCCAAGAGCTGAAACGTTTGGTCACTTCACCTCCATGCCTCAAGTTTTATGATCCAAACCTGCCTACTCGATTGAAACCTGACGCAAGTGTTGATGGTCTTGGTGCCCTCCTTGAACAAAACCATGGTTCAGACGATTCTCCCCAATGGTTCCCCATTGCCTATGCATCTAGAGCATTGTTACCATAGGAAAGGAACTATGCACAAATCGAAAAAGAAGCCCTCTCGATTGTATTTGGAACGGAACGCTTTCATGAGTACCTCTACGGTCATCACTTCCCTGTATTCAATGATCATCAACCACTCAAGTCAATCTTCAGTAAATCCATCACTCAATGTCCACCAAGAATACAGCGCTTCTTCATGAAGCTTCAAAAGTATGACTTCGACCTTGAATATTCTCCTGGCAAAACCATGGTCGTCTCAGATGCACTCAGCAGGGCCTACCTCAACAACCAATCAACTGAAATTGATCAACCTGATTTGATTCACTGTATCCAATTCACTTTCGACAACCTTCCCATCAGGTTTGCTCGCCTGACTGAATTTCAGAAAGAGACAGCCTCTGACACTACATTACAGCAACTCAAGGAATACACTCTTAAAGGATGGCCACAACAACGTGACATTCCTCAAACAGTCAAGCCATACTACAACATCCGTGATGAAATTGTTTACAACAACGGCTTACTCCTCAAAGGTCAACGCATCATCATCCCATCATCACTGCGCAGCACCATGAAAGCAATCATACACCAGGGCCACACTGGCATTGAAAGTTGCAAAAATCGTGCGCGAATGTCCGTCTATTGGCCCGGAATAAACGCACAAATTGAAGATCTTGTTTCTAACTGTTCACTTTGCCCAACCTACAGAAACAAGCAACAGAAGGAAACCCTTATTCAACCTACGGTTCCGAATGCACCATGGACAAAAGTTGCCTCAGACCTGTTTCCCCTTTATGGACATGACTACGTTATCGTTACGGACTATTTCTCAAAGTACATTGAAATTGAACGACTCACCGACAAATCGAGCGCCACTGTGGTTAATAAAATTAAGAAGATTTATACTCGACATGGCATTCCTAAAGAGCTCTGTTCCGACAATGGTCCAGAATACACAGCGGCATGTTTCAAACAGTTTGTCAAAGAATGGGACTTTAAACACACTACTTCAAGTCCTCACTTTTCGCAGTCCAACGGTTTCGTGGAAAGAGCAATCCAAACTGTTAAGAAGAGTTTGAAAAAAGCACATGATGGCAACAAGGACCCTTACCTTGCCTTGTTAGTTCTCAATACCACTCCTGGAAACGACAACAAGTCACCAGCTGCGCGCCTCTTCGGTCGTCAACCACGTTCCACATTGCCTTCCCTAATCCAACCTGCATTTCCTCCTCCCCCTCCTCCCAAAGACACCCGAGCGAAGACAAAAGAAAGATATGATCAACACGCTAAAGATCTACCTGATATCCAACCAGGAACTGTTGTTCGAATCTGTGCGAAGGAAGATGAGAAATGGAATCAACTTGGTAAAGTCGTGGAGAAGTGTGCCGAGCCACGGTCCTATCGTGTCCTCAATGACAAAGGAAACATTGTGAGACGCAACCGCCGCCACCTTATCCCGTGTAAGGACAGATTCCAGATCCGGAATGACTTTGATTATGATGATCTAGAAGTGACAACTCGACTCAGTTCTCCAGAACCACCAAACGAAATCGTCACAAGATCTGGTCGAGTCGTTCGAAAACCGACTAGATATAGCTAGACAAATAAACGTTCATTCACGCAAACTTTATTAACTTTATATTTGTTTAATCTCCAACGGGAGATGTTACATATTTGTTTTGTTAATCTGATGTATGTTATTTAAGTCTTGTAATTACGTCATACAATGCGTTCGCGCCAAATATATGTTTTTATATTCTCTGTCTTAAAAACGTGTGTATTCAAACAGAACACCAATGACCACCCTCAAAAGTACCATCTCTGAACCATATAAGCACCTCAGAATAGCCAAAGCTCTTATGGTTTGGTAGATAGCAGTATGGCGAAAGCGTCGTTTTTGGGTGTGGTCAGTTTCGGATGTTTCGCCCCGGATTGGGGTTCGGGCAGCGTTACCATGTTGACCGTCATGGTCAACTTACCCTAAAACAGTTGAGATTTGATTGAGATTATCTGTCCTAAATGAAATGCATACAAACTCATATACAGGTCCTAGACTAACATATGTTGTTGTTTTCAATAACGTGGAGTAGCGATTCTCCGATTGGTTAATTCACAAATGTTGTGAGAACTGCGCATTTCATCAGTAATTTTAATCAAGTTTATAAGCGTCGTTTCACCGTAGTAATGTTTAATGTTTAATGTTTAAATCACTTTATTAAACCTTTATAGAGGTAAAAATGGAAAAGGTACAACAGGTTACCCCAATTACTGTACCCCCAACTAGAATAGAAGTTACAATACATACTGATACAAGTTACAAACTATCACATACACATATCTATTATATTATTAAAATGTTAGAGATGTAAAAATGTTAAAAACAACAATGAATCTTGTTGTGCAACAAGCGTGCAGTTCTACACTTTATACATATTGACTTCCAAGTTCTGCAGTCATCAATGTTATAAACAGTTCTTAGGGCGTCCCTATAATACTTGTTCAGTTTACTTTTAAAACCTTGGAATGTCTCTTCTTCTAATGTTAGTTCGAGTGGTAGAATATTCCACAATTTGGCTACTCTAATAAAGTAACTATTTTGGAAAGTGGTAGTTCTACATTTCCTTACAACTAACTATAAAACAATTACCAAATGGTTTTCCCGTGCAGGATAGCATGATCCATGCACTTGGGATGTTGCTCGACTTTCGGAAAGCGTAAAAATACACTCGCCTGCGGCTCGTGTATTTTTACGCTTTCCGAAAGTCTCGCAACATCCCGCGTGCATGGATCACGCAATCCTGCACGGAAAACCATTCGGTTTTCCTTTAATAATTGTTGAAATCTATATAATGAAAATCTGCATATTACAGCAGATAAGATCGAATAAGGTAGAAAATCTAACCTATACGTACTATTTATTATAAAACGTACTAAACTGATGTATTAAAAAGTATTAGCCCTTAACCCATTGAGGTGCAATGAGCCCGAATGCACCTTATTTTGCTATTTTACTCTATCTAACGCTGGGGGACATTACAATCTCGTTCGCAGGGCTTTTCCCTTTTTTCAATTGGGGCAAAGCCCTGGGAACGAGGTTGGGGACTAATGCATGCATGAGTTCATAAACAAAAGTAAATTTTTGGAATTTAGTTCAAATTAGATAGCCAAATGCACCAAAAATTCAACCTACTCTACAATGAAATTCAATTTTAAATCGGACAGAGTGTAAATATGCACTAGCAATTAAAATATTAAAACATACCATTAGGACAAGTTATGGTCCATGTTGCATCATATTTTGTCCCAGCGTTAATGCATATTACATTAGCAAAAAGAAACAAGGCTGCTAACATGACTTGCATCATGGTCGTGTACTACATAAACAAATTATTAAAATTGGATTAGTCATATTTCTTCTATAGTATGCAAATTTAATGTAATCCAGATATGTTTGAAAAAGGCGTATTAATACAGTACATATTTCTCAAGACAACTGTAATACCTTACGTATGTGGTTGGGCATTTGCCCCAGTTTACGTCACTTTCCGGCGATTTGGCCCACTGCATGAAGGAAAAGAGGACTTGTTGCCTCGGATGTCTCAGCCCTTTGACTAGCAGTTGTGCTCTTTTACTAACATGACAATGAAAACAATTCTTTGTTTTCTTTGTAAAATGCCAACAAAATTTCCTTTGTTGATTCGTTCCCTATAGTTCCGACCCCTGACCAGCCCACCCCCGAATTTAACCAATCTCTATATTAACTGCACTAGATATTGTGCACATGCATGCAGATACCCTAGACATCTGAAAAAAATGTAACAAATTTTAGACTAGTCCCCTCCCTTCGCCTTGACTGTAAATAAAAGGCTACGTGTCGATCTTGCTTGATTTATCTAGAGAATCGTCCGACCCAGAAATTCAATAATCATGCAAGAAAGAACTAAATTAAGCGTCCTGTCATCAGCCCAAGAAATCCCCACCAGGTCTTACGGTGGCGGGGTGGGATTTCACATTGTGACCCACCAATGAATTTTTAAAAATATAACCGTAATGAAAGTTTAGAGAATCGATATATTGTGATTGCAAAAGCGCAGTAACCTGGCGTGCATGACCATTCGTCATAAATTAATTGCGGCTTGATTCACATTATTTTGAATAGCTATATATTACTCAAGTAAATATATATAAACCGAGTGAATGAACGTACATGAAATAGACTTTTTTCAATTGCTACCTGGAAATAGTAGAAATTGGTTCACCAAACTGGTTCAAAGAAGCGGAGATGATTGATCTTCTTCTGTGCAGGTTATGGAGCTCTGGCAACAACTGAATGAAACAGCATTGCGATATGTGACATATATACACACTGATCACCACGCCTACGTCAAATTAGTTTAATTTAAATTAACGTCATCTTTCACCGTTCCGGACTTCTGTACATCCTCCCCCCAATATAACTTTTTGTTTAGATTATAACGCCATCTTCCGACTATTTACTAATTTCCCCTAGGGGAAACAACTATAGTTAATTTCCCCTAGGGAAAACAACTACGGTTAATTTCCCCTATACAGGGTGTCTCAAAAAAACCCAAAATCATTGAAATAACGTATTGTTCGAATTTCAATGCCGTAACACAAAGGATTTTGACAGGGTGATTAATTTGTTTTAAAAAATTAAAATATCTTTGTAAAGTGAACGTTTGTTTGCTCATGTGAATTTAAAAATGCTTCGTAAATTGTAATATGCGTAATATGCATTCGTGGGTTTAGTACTTTATGCCTGACATAACAAGTTTACGCTGAGTATTACCATTCATTATAGCAGTTATGTCAATCTTTTATGCACTCGTGGGATTAACTTAGTGCTAGGGCATTGAATATCGAACAATACGTCAATTTCAATGATTTTGGGTTTTTTTGAGACACCCTGTACAGGGTGTATAAAAAAAAGCGCAACCTCGGAATTTCCCAAGAAATCGACATTGTTTTAAAGACAAAAGATTTTAGGCGCCTGGGAATTTAAAATAGCATAACTGTCAAAATTACTGCACACACGAGTGCATAAAGCAAAATTTATGCATTTATTTAATGCACAACAACAGTAATATGATCTATTAGCAATTCGATTTCAATTTCCAGGGGCCTAAAATCTTTTATGCTTAAGAATTGCAAAGTGATTTCTTAGGAAATTCCGAGGTTGCGTTTTTTTTTATACACCCTATACAGTGTGTATCAAAGTAAGTATACTAGTATAGGCTTTCAAATTTAAATCAAGCATAACGACGTATTATATTGAATTCGTCTAACAAGCTATATAATTGTTTCGAACAAGTTAGCGTGCCGTAAAACAAAAGTCTTTGTACCATTGTGGGACATGTACGAACAACTGAACGAAATACTCTGACCCTGTACAGTACAAGCAGCATTAAAATAAAGTTATAATTGATCTCTTTTGAGGCCCGTTTCATACGCCGTACTTCACATGTACCGAATACATTAAAAACAATAGATAATGAGGCATTTCAGCTCATTACCTATTGTCTAATAATGTATTCGGCACATGTGAAGTACGGCGTATGAAACGGGCCTGAGTTTTGTTAATAAGACATGTTTTCGTCGCGTATCATTATTAACTCAGTCTCAAAGCAGTTGAGAACAATGCTATCCGACAAATCACTTATAATTATCGTTAATTTGAATTTGAAGTGCAACATTCAAGAATCAATATTTTGTTTCTCCTATATATTTATACACACTGTATATATAGGAGAAACAAAATATTGATTCTTGAATGTTGCATGCAGTTTGCATGCCTGGAAGTTTGCGATAATAGTTATATGATGAGTCGACCCAGAATGATGTTTAGCCGGGTATACATAATATAATTCTCTATATATTAATTGAGGAACTTTATTGCGAGCTTTATTTTTTATCATTTATATTTTACTGTGGCAAGCATACTCACCTTTATTATTTTACTATGTCAAACATATTCACGGACAATTTAAAACTTATATAGTTAAACGGCGAAGCATTTGCTTCAAACAAATAGCATGCAAATAAACAAATAAACGAGTCTGAATTTATCATGTCTCTCAGTGGCGTGCTGGGTACTATTTTTCTGGGGGGGCCAGTGGGCTGTCAACCAATATGCGCCCCTATAATGTTACACTTGATAAACGATTGCCGAAGGCACGAGTCGAGTGCCGCAGGTGCGAGGTTTGTCTAGGGAGGTCCGGGGGCATGCCCCCCAGGAAAATTTTTTAATTTAGAGTCTCTGAAATGCCATTTCCTGGACTTTGGGGAAAGATTTGACAGAAATCTGATGGTCAGGAAACGGCATTATAACGTGTCGAAATTTGCAATTTGGTTAGAATTTAGTTGTAGTACTTAAATTATGCAATGCTAACTACTTCCAGCGATTAATTTAATCCCAATTCTGTTCTCTACTGATCTACTGTTCTGAGCACAATTACAACTTAAAGCTCTTTTATACAATAACACACGCACCCCACTCATATGCATTTTAAGGTTTCTTTGCCTGGCTGCCCAAAGGGCATGTTTCAGCATTATTTCATTACTTACATTACTCATGCTTCTTGTGCAAACAACTAAATTGCGTACACAACTTTACATCAGTTATCATAACTTCAACTATCTAATTTGCGCCGCCCTCGTGATTCGTGAAGCATAATAAAGGGCATAATATAAGGGCATAATACCAGAAAAAAGGGCATAATTCCCGTGATCGCTTCGATCGAAACCTGACCAATATTCCGGTAATGAGACATTGCCTGTGATCACTGATGATGTTTTTATATGAACGATTTCGTGTGAGTTGTGTGGTAGCAAATACGGTTAGGCAAAATAGTCTGTAATTTAATATATGTCGCCTATGCGCTTAGTCTGTTTTATACTGTAGCCTATAAACACGTCTTTTCTTGGCGGAAGTAACCATATTTTTTCGAGAATGTGTTTTTGCCCACCCACTTTCAAAATTCGGCGCCCCATTTTCATTTTTGCGCCCCCCAAGAATTGCCAGCTGGGGGGGCCGTGGCCCCCCGGCCCCCCCCTGCCAGCACGCCACTGATGTCTCTATAACTTACTATACTTATATATTTTTATGTGTTATACTTATAGTCAATGACAATATAATTTTGTCAACATTAAATTATAGTGTCATTTACTTACGAGGTGACCTCGTTGAAAAGCCTCCGGCTTAAAATACCTGCAGGGGCGCCGGGGGCAGCTGCCCCCGTTGCCTAAAGAGTGCGGGGCAGCACGGGGGCAGCACGGGGGCAGCACGAGGGCAGCACGGGGGCACACGGGGGCAGCACGGGGGCAGCAGGTTGCCTTTTTTACCAGAACTGCACTTCAAACGTCGTGCGGTTTTCACATGAATTGAAATTGAAAACTGTTTTTAAACAATTTAGCTCATATCTATTATGAATTCCTCTCAGAAACGTTACCAATATTATTTGCTTTCCCAATGCTTATCTGAGCTTCAAGAAATCCAAAATTTTCTGAGTGCGGGCATGCCCCCAGACCCCTATAGAGGCTCCCATCTTTGGTGGTCGACTCGGTTGTCTTAGAATCATAGGTATGGCCTGATCTGCTACCCTATGGTGCATACTTATATGTTAGTTAAACCATGCATATACATATGCTGCAGGTAGCTGCAGCGACACAGACTTGCCGACTGGAACTTCTCCAAGTCTCCCGCTAAATATGACATATCCAGTTACACATCCTTACAGGGCATTAGCAACCGGGGGGCTGGAGGGGGCCTGCAGCCCCTCCCCACCAAAAAATAGGTACGCTACGCGTACATGTATCTGCGCAAAACTGGAGTCATAGTCCGTATGATGTGACCTCGAAAAGTGCCTAGAAAAAGATTTTCATTAAGCATGTCTTAGATCTGAAATACTTTTACGGGAACTAACACTTTCGAACACGCTGATTTCAAATCCGAAAAGTTCCCACTCCGTAGACCCGCAGTTTTTTCACAAAATGCTATTTTATCTTCACTAATTTCACAACAAATTTTTTCATTGTTCAACGACACGGATCGATGACGATACACGATTATGTCACTCAAAAGGACCAATTTCTATTAACCATTCTTCCTTTAAACAAAAGACCGGTTTTGCTCGAATCATTGTGAGTTATGCAATCTTATGCGTGTTGGACGTAAACAACATATCTTGTCTACAACTTTGGGAAGGTACAGATAATTCCTTCTAAAATCCTTAGTTCTGGATCTATCTCTATAAAATCACAAGGACGTTAATGTCAAGTCTTTGTGCTATGTCTCTGGGATGAGAAATAATTCCTTACATGCGATCAAAATGTTTTATACAAAGATATAAAACGGTAATCTATATGTAATGGATCAGCATTGAAATTTCCAACACGGTTTCCAAGACGTAATTCAAGAGATAACTTATCATTGCATTTGAACTATTACATGAGTTGGTGTTATACTGTGCGATGAGCGAGTATTATTGGAAAGAGGGCTTCTATATACGTCGAAATCATCAAATAAACAGCTCATGCACACATTTCTCCACTTCGCGGTAAGTTTACAGAGCATATTTTATACTTTGTGACTGATCTTTGTCTTTGATGTGAACATTTATTCTTATAGTTTAAGGTTATTTAAGATTGATCCTGTCGTAAGTCTTCTACCTGCAACCATTCGACAATATTTCGTTTTAGCGTTGTCTTTGCCGTTACGTTGGCTTCGCGTTACTTTTGTTTTAAATATCTTGATCGCATTAAAAGAGTTATTTTTCAGGCCAGTGACATAGCTAAAAGACTTGATATTAACAAGATTATATAGATTATATGTTACATGAAGTATTTACATTAAAGGCTTCTTGAAAACAATAAGTCTTAACTAATTTCTTGAATATACTAAAGTTATGCAGATTTCTTATATACATAGGTAATTCATTCCAGATTTTTGGAGTGGACTAGGTTACGAATGCTCTGTCGCCGAGTGTTTTCTTTGTTTCTGTACTATAGTCTTCAAGCAATGTGCCTTCGTTAGATCTTAGACTATAGCGCGCACGATGTATTTCTTACTTTTAAAAGATTGACACGATAGAGAGGTGCATACTGATGGATACATTTAAAAGCAAGCATGGCAATTTTGAACTTGATCCTTAATCGAACAGGACGCCAGTGTAATTTGATGAGAGTCGGAGTGATGTGATCATGTTTTGGGATAGAACAGATAAGACGTGTCTGACGTACTGCTGTATTTTGTAGCTGTTGTAGTTTAGACAGATGTACATCTGTGACACCAATGAACAATTGAAATATATATTTCATCACTTATTATATAATAGCAAATTAGATATTAAGATCAAGCATAATACACATCTACCAGGGCTGTAAACAGGGGAAAGACAATTTAACATACTAATTTTACAATGTCATTATGATCATAGCGAATAATCATGCAGTCACGAAATACAAATTCCATTCAAACAATACTACACTTGCACAAAATACAATACTTTTAAAATTAATATCACTAGCATATATTATATACAGTAGAACAAAGTTTTCAAGTCTAGATTTCATATTGAATGAAATAGCTGCTATAAATTCCACTTGCAGTAGTATTTCAGATTGTTACCATAACAGTAACAAAGGTTTCCTTAACTGAGTTGTGACATCATAATGTTGATACATAAACTGGAATGTCACACTGATAATTTGACAATCTTCTTTATCATCGCCATATAATCGAGAAATGCAAAACATTTTAGATGTCATAGAGTCAGGATAGCAGGTGTTGTCACAATCCATACCATTGACATATATATAGCATCCAAATTTAAACAATAAACAATATATATAGAAGTTAACATTTACATTGAAATCATATAT